CCCTTATTAAAAATTAAAAATATATATTACGAAGTTATTTAATTAAGCGGCGCCCTTATTATTATATTTATTAAATTAAAATTAACCTCTTTATATTTTTTAAGTATTATCGTATTAAGAAAACTAACGAGGAGGTAATTTACTTATTATAACTATGCTAGGGCGAGACTAAGCTATTAGGGATATATAAACGTCCTATATATTAAAAAGCTATAAATTAGTTTAAAGTTTTTTAAAGTATAGTTATTATTTAGTATTAAAATTATAAGTTAATTATTAATTAGTCCTTTAATTACGCTTACTACTTATAATAATTAAAGCTCGAGATAGCGCTTTATAACGCTTTTTATTAATAATAAAGTAAAGAAAAGCTCGTTAATACTAGTTAGTTTAAAAAGAACGCTAAGCGGATTTTTATTAAGCAAAATCTAAATAATAAACATTTTTTTACTTTTTTTTCTAATTAGTTTTATAGTTTTTAGAATCGTATATAAATTACTTAATATTAACTTACTAAATAGGTAACTAAGTTATTTACTAAGTATTTTAAAGTTATTAATAGCTTTTTTTTTTATTTAACGAGTTAACTAAATAGCCTTAGTAATAGTAAAGCAGTCTAACTTTAGAAATATATTTAGGAGTTTAGTTTATTAATTTCTTAACTTACGAATTCTTAACCTCGACGAGACCTTAGTTCTTTTTAAATACTTAGATAGTTATATATATAACGACGTTAGAGCTAAAATCGTAGTTAATAAGAATAACCGTAGCGGTTAGGGTAAGTAATAAGCTATATTAATACTTTATATTTTTATTAATAATATATAATAAATTAAACTAAAAATAATATTTTATAATAAGCCCGTAGAAGAAGGGGGTTAATTATAAAAAAAAGAGGCCTTATTATATATAAAAAGAGTAATAGTTAAGTTTAATAAAACGGCTTATAATAATAAGTATTTATTTAAAAAATAAATTAAAGAGGAATTAGTAGTACTAACTAAGGGAAATAAGTACTTATTAATTATAAATATTACTTTTTTTTATAAAATAGATTCTATTCTAGTACTATTATGTTAATATTATATTACGCCCTATTTTATATTACTAAGGACTACTTCTCTTTTCTAACCTCTCGATACCGTAGTTAATAAGCCCTTTAAATAGTAGCTTTTAAAAATAACTAACGCTTATATACTTAATAAGGAAAAGAAAGCGCTAAATAAGTAAGAGGAGCTTAAATAAGAGATAGGTATAAAGAAAATAATAGTTATTAAAATAGTTAAGATAGTAGTTACTAAATTAGCTTATAAAAAGGGCTTAATAATTAACTAGGCCTTCTTATAATATAAAATATTTATTTAGCTTAATAATAACTAAGTTAATAAAATCCGGATTAAAGACGTACCCGCTAAGGCTATTAATTATATTAAATAGGAGCTTTTTAATATAAAAGCTTATATTAAGTAAAAGATATTATAAAAAAAGATTTTAAACTTTACTATTCTAAATAATAGGTTAGAATATATTTTTATAATAAAAAAAGTCTATAATAGTATTAATAAGTAATACGTCGACCTAATAGTCTAACTATTATATAAATAAGGGCCCGTTAGTAATAATAAGCTAGGGAATAGTTAGAGGCTTTCGGTTACTTACGTATAATAGCTTCTAATTAATACTTTTATTATTTTTATTAATTTAATAAAAAAAGCTTAAAACCGATAAAAAAGCTAAAATAATTATTAAATTAGATTAATTATAAATTTAGCCTTAATAGCGAGCTCTTATTAGCTAGATCGATCGGAATATTAGCGTATATTAAAAATAAGTAGCGGCTATATTTAACTACTTTAGGTAGTATTACGGTTCTGCTAGAGCGCTAGCAGGGTTAGCACGGGCTAACGCAAGTTTAAAGTGCTCGAGTTTCTATAGTATCCGAGTCGATATAATATCCACAGTACTTCTGTGAATAAGGTACCTTACCTTTCATGATCTGTGCCCCGCCTGAGCGTTTCTTATCGATAACAGATGCGACAAGATCCAGTAACTGCCTAAGGTAACCAACAAACCTAAGGTATCAATCATGGCTCTTCCCTAAGTATGCATAGGTAAGCATCTAAGCTAAGATACCTCGCCCCCGGTGCCTACTCCGCATTGCGCTTTCGTAGGGACAGAATATGGAGTAGAGGTACGCATAATAGAAGGGATTTTTTTGGGCCGGCTTGCCACATTCTGAGTATATTTCTGACCTCAGCGGAAGTTGTCAGAGCTCCTACAACCACACATCCAGTTGACAGAAACTACTCCTTGACTACCCAGACAAGACATAGACGGCACTTCCATTGAACATTCTTCATCGCGTGGGCAGCGATGCCGCGCGGTGGGAAAAAAGGTGGCGCACGAGCGCCACCACGCAATGCCCCTCGCCTTCGCCCTCCCGGTGGTATAGAGCGGCATGCAGCCAGTTTCGTTCCTGCGATTAGCCCAGCCGGTCAGTATATGCCATTCTGATCGGGACTCGTCTTGGGCAGCACCTCCCATTGATGGCATGCAAGTTAACCGGGCTCGCAGCAGGGTTTACATTGCAAGACGAAGCCCGCAGCACCGCTCATCGCTCCTCACCCTGGAGCAGTGATTCCAAACTACGCCACAGGCCGGTTGCCTTCATCAATACTGGAGCTGCAGAGCCTCTCAAACAACTAGAGAGCATCTTGCAGATTGACGAGGGGAATTCTACAAGCAGACCTCAAGCGGAAATCGAAGGACAAACCATCACCGATGGCCAAGCTGCTGCCGACACACCTTCCCACGAATCTCAACCTGCTGTTTCGCTTGTCGAAGCTCACGTCCACGAGGCCATGCCGGTCGATATTGCCGCCGAAATGACGGATGTCTCTCTAGACCCACGCGAGGTAGAGAAGGCTACGATCTCCGGAGCGGAAGACATCACTGGCGCTGAGGCTCCCATCGCACCTCTTCCCTTCTTCTTCGACGTCGTGGGAGAGACTCAACGGCTTGACGCATTTGTCGATCAAAACCCAACTCGTTCTCCATCGCCTACGTCGTCCAACTCTAGCGAAGATGTCATTCTGTTCAGAGGTCGCAACAAGGTTCCCAGAGACAAGCAAGGTTCGAAGTCCAAGGCCAAATCGAAGCTGAATACTTTCAACCTGGGCGGCATCTCTACCGAGATCAACGTCCTGGAGAAGACCGTGAAATCAAACAAAGACAGCAGCAGGGATATGCCTATGAAGACTGTCGGAAACTCTACACAGGAATCTCGTCGAAATGCCGCCAAAGACTTGAAGCGACAGGAGGACGATGAACTGATTGCTGACTATATTGCCAACATGAGGGAGTATGGTGAAGACGAAGCCCTGATGCCTGCCAAAGCCTATTCTCGCCGTGACATAGGCGGCTCTTTGAGCGAGTCTGAAGGCATCGATGACTCGTTCCAGACCGTCGTAGCCACGAGCAAGACCGAGGAGTTATCAGGCGTCAACAGTGAATCGGAACATGCGACTGCAGGGGTTGGAAAAGCGCCTAAGGAAAGCGACGAGAAACCTGTCCATAATGCACAGAGGCGATCCGAAAGGCGCAAAGTCATACAAGATGATCATGCACTAAGGGGAATTTTTGAGACGGACGTTTCCTACCTGGCATCACTCGAACAATCTCTTGCTGAAGACGCATCGCCGCCTTCTGACTCAAGCGACCAAGACGACGACGATATCTTCAGATCAGCAGCAGATAGATTTGCGAATGAGATCGACGATTTCGACTTCATGGACTGGAGCCGCCCGGCGTTGAAGCCTAAGAGGAGCAAGGGTGCCAGGGGCAAGGTTCCCGTGTTTGACATTTCGGACTCAGAGCTAGAGGGCAAGATGCAAGCTGCGTGGAAGAACGATCGCTTGAAAAAGGCTGAGAGGAAGAAAGAACGCCAAGCCATGCGTAGTATGGGATTGTTGGGTAAACATGCAAACCCGGAAGATCTCAGAGTCAAATATCCCCACGGTATGGGGCTTGAACAAATCGCCGATGAGCTAAGAACATTCCTCTTAGGCACTCAACCTAGGCAAGTTTCATACACTTCGAGTGCACTCAAGGTATTGGAGGCTGACTTATTACCACAGTCTCACACTACCGCCCATGGACAACCATGCTCGCAAGGTGATTCACGAACTAGCCAGCAAATTCAACATCAAGTCCAAGTCCACAGGTTCGGGTGACCAAAGGCGACCCATGCTCCACCGCACTTTCAGGACCGCCAAATTTGCCGATGAGATCTTCGATGTAGCAATTGCTCGGGTCGGCCGCAAATACTTCCCTCGCAACGATACGGCAGTGCGGGCTGCCGTACAGAGGCAATCGGCTCGTAGGGGAGGTGGTGGTGGACACGCGGGAGTTGCCTATCGGGATGGCGAGGTCGTCGGGGGTTCCGCGCCTGAGTTGAGCCAGGAAAACAAAGGTCGTGCAATGCTCGAGAAAATGGGCTGGAGTAGCGGTACGGCGCTGGGCGCGATTAACAACAAGGGCATTTTGCAGCCTGTCGCCCATGTTGTCAAGCGTAGCAAGGCCGGGCTGGGATAACACGCATGGGCGGTCATCGCGGTGTCGCTGACTTTGCGGAACAGCGCGTTCAATGTCGTGCCCAAGATGGGTCGCTGTGGGCTGCTTTGCTAAAGGTGCTCCTGGGGCGCCGGGGAGCCCGCGTTCATACTTTAGTATATGTGTGCACCGAGCACGTTTGCAACGAAGTAGACTTGTGTTGTTGATGTTCATGTGTACGATTTCATTCGTCCGAAAACCCTATTCTCAAGGTGTATTGTACAACCCGCGAACCCCGTTTGACCGTGAAGACATTGCCCCCAAAAAAGCAAACCATCCGTAACGCATTAAGAGACCCCAAGGATATTGGTAACCTTGGCAGGTCTCATCATGACACCCAAATGCCAAGTAAAATCCAATGCCCGAAAAGAAAAGCAGTACAAGCACCCTTATTTCGTGGAAGAAGAGTACTTGGTAACGGCCTTGGTGCCTTCCGAGACAGCGTGCTTGGCCAGCTCACCGGGCAGGATGAGACGAACACTGTTGGGGCGGTTAGCTGATTCGGTTTCGGACCTGGAAAGATGACATACGAGGTCTGGATCTCGCGAGAGGAGATAGTGGACTTCTTGTTGTAAGCAGCAAGCTTAGAGGCCTCGGAGGCGACGCGCTCGAAGATGTCTGTGTGACGCGTTAGAAACGGTGCGTGCAAGTATTTGGAGCGATGTGTGCTTACCGTTGACGAAGGAGTTAAGGATAGACATGGCGCGGTTGGAGATACCAGTGTCGGGGTGGACCTGCTTCAGGACTGGAAATACTGTGTCAGAACGTGTCGGATACATAGTGTCGCGTGATGCGACGCGCCAACAAAGAACGCGAAGTGCCAATGTCACTTACCCTTGTAGATGTAGGAGGAGTAGGTCTCCTTGCGAGACTTGGTGCGCTTCTTCTTGTCGCCAGAGGCGGCGGTCTTCTTGCCGGCATCCTTCTTCTCGGGGGCCTTGGAGGCAGTGGCAGGGGCCTTGGAGGCGGGCTTCTTGTCGGCGGCCTTGGGGGGCATTTTTGCGGTTTGGATTAGTGAAGGTGGAAAATGAGTACGTGAGTAAGTTGGTTGAAATGGATTGCGACTGGCGACCGTGGATGAAGCTGGATGATGGAGTGAGGAAGAGTTGATGTGGCAGGAAGAAGTTTGGGGGGGTGGGCTGGGTTTTTGTAGCTGGACGCGACGGGATTCTGCGGCGTTACTGATTTGATGCGAGGACAGAGTGATTTTGGGGAGGGGTGGCCCAGGTGGGTGGTCAGTATCAGTGGCACACCGGGGCCTTAGGACTGGTGTCAGGGGCGTGCGCTGGTGTGGCCTTGCCTGGTAAAATGGGAATCGGCTGTCTTGGTTGGCTGAGAACTGAGTAGGTGGGTCTAGAGATGGAGGATCCGTAACCACCGCCCACGAGAGCGGCTACCGAACTGGGGTACTCACGCGTTCGCGCTAAAAAAACAAATACGTGACGCTCAATGTATCTTCTTTTTTTTTTTTTTAATTCGCGTATCACGGAGCTGGCAGGCAGGGGACATTCGAGACTGCCAGAACAGGCTCCAACCAATAGCAGCGTCCCATCACAGGCCAACCAACAGTCTCCCGGTCAGGCAAAGCTAACAGGTTACGTATTTACTCACTTGTACCGCCCAAGACGACTGGCGATTCGTAGAAGCTAGAGAAAAGTCCACAAGCCAGATCAGAGATGCTTGCAAAGCTACAACATCACATGCGTATCGTTCTTGCAGCGTGGCTACCGGCTACGGCGTCTGCCGCCTCAAGACCGCCGGTGCGGAAAGAAGTGATAGCTGAGAATCAATACACGTCTCATAGCATCTCTACAACACTCATATCCATAGTAAGTCGAGAGCAGAAGGCTTGTAGCAGTTCGCAGAGAATGTTCGGGTCGCCATGCCAATGAGCCGCCGAGCCACCTCATCTGGACATTTTAATATGTGCCTACCTGGTCCACGTTGCCCGAGGTTGCTAAAGACTCTAGACGAAGGCAGTATGACTTTTTACACGCTGCGCGCTGCAACTGCTTCTCGCTTGTATCCAGTGGAACGTGTGACACTGAGAGCAGTCTTTGGATTTGAGGAAATATGCGCCCTCTTCGACGCGTTGATTGCAGCTTGCGTCTTGCGATGGTGGGTGCGGCTAAGGTAGCCAGTGCCTGGACTTTTTGTCTCTATTAGGCCTAGGCCCGCATGGCTCTTTCGGAATTGACGGGGGGCTCAGTGACATTCTCTGCTCATTGCGATCCATACACATCTGTGATCTCAGGTAGAACGACCCCTAGATGAAGGAAGCATGCCCGTGAGCTCGCGGTCTTGGACGTGGAGTACCTGGCCTGCAGGATGTTGCATCTAGCAGGAGAAACACTGTCCGCTATTCAGCGGCAGCCAGTGGAAACGCGATCGAAGGTAACGCGGTGGGCTCTGCAGTACATATCGGGACCCCTCCACTCTATGTCATTACAAGGCTGGGCCCGTTTGCCGTAGAAACACCACGAGTGGCATGCAGGGGTCGCTGTATCAGGCACTCCATGAGGCTCTGTCCACGATTACGACGGGGTCAAACAGAACGCGGGGCAGTCGATTTGAAGATTTCTCCGGACCCGATATGGGATGGAGCCGAACGATGGACCATGTGAGGCCCAGGTTCCTGGGTCTCATTAGGCTTCTTCACATGAGCTCACACCACATGTATCGGACTCTGTTCGTGCTATACAGCGGGTTCCGGTAGATCTGAGATCCATTCGGATGCAAGTCATATGGGGTCGAAATGTCACTGGATAGCGAAGCATACAAATGGCATAAAGTGGTTGAGATGCAACCCATTTGTCCTTCATTTACAAATAGACAACGAAGTTCGTCAAAGTTCGAATATGCATGGCAAATGCGCCTCGGGGTGACCTCTGCTGAATGTTAAACACGTGAAAGCCGATTCTCTCCGAGAGATCACTTTTCGAATTGAAATTCAGGATCCTTTTGTTCTGGGAATGAGAATACCGGTTGGAGCTATACGTGGGGGACGAGAGGGGGGAATGTGGAATATTGTCGTGCGTTAAGACAACACACGGCATCATCAAGAATATGAGTAAAGATAAAAACAAAGTCAGTTGCATCAGTCCAGTAAGTTGGAAGGTACCCAGCTGATTTCGTCGTGGCGGTTCGTCCAAGAAACAAGGCCGAGGGGGAAGGTGGATGATACGTAAGAGAAGGTGATCAAGACGCGGCTGGATGACCGCTTCTCCTAGCCAGTAAGATAATTCGAAAACCAAAATCCTGCGCGGAAGGGGGGAAATGTAGAAAGTGGAAATGGTTTTTTGGGAAGGAAAAAAAAAGTTGTTAAGAAGGGGGCGTGGGCAGATCCCGGCACTGTTTGTGGAAAGAGGAGCGGCACCGCGGGGGGTTTTATTTCCTTGCATTGATCGCATCTGGACGCAATCGCTCGCTACCTTGCTCCTGTGAGTCTTTGTCATGGAATGGAAGTCGCGTCTGGCAGGCTGGCAGCCCACCTTAAGGCTTATCTATAGCTCGCGTCCACCAAAGAAGCGGTACTGCTGTGGGCGGCAGCAGAACCGATAAGAGGTACGTACCCGTCTTCTAGCCCGGGCCCAGAAAAATGATGCACCGCACCTGCCTGCACCAGTCTACCACAACATCGAATTTCTGGTTTAGGCTTAGCGCTAAATCGCGCGTTGGTGATCCGTGATCGAGCTCCTCTAACGCGAAAACTACTTAACTTCTTCACTCCCCACCATCAACGCCCTTTCTTCCATCTTCATCTCACTTTTCCATCACCAACTCAAAGCCAGCCTTCAGCCAAGTCGCTTTTTACGCGTCTACCTCAATACCCAACTTTTTCACGTAACTCAACCCCAAATCCCAAATTCACAATGACTGGAGGCGGCAAGTCCGGCGGAAAGGCCAGCGGTTCCAAGAACGCGCAATCGTAAGTTGCTCCCTCTCACTTGAAGCTTTCCAAGAAAGGCCGCATTTACACTATTATGCGATGTTCTTCGATCCAAGCCCAAGCTTCATCCACTGACCTTATATCCCACAGTCGTTCCTCCAAGGCCGGTCTCGCATTCCCCGTTGGTCGTGTTCACCGTCTGCTCCGCAAGGGCAACTACGCTCAGCGTGTCGGTGCCGGTGCCCCCGTCTACCTCGCCGCAGTTCTTGAGTACCTCGCCGCTGAGATTCTCGAGCTGGCTGGCAACGCCGCTCGCGACAACAAGAAGACCCGTATCATTCCCCGTCATCTTCAGCTCGCCATCCGCAACGATGAGGAGTTGAACAAGCTTCTCGGTCACGTCACGATCGCCCAGGGTGGTGTTCTGCCCAACATTCACCAGAGTAAGTTGACCTTCCATCTTCGGTCCCTTTTTTTTCTATTTCAATTGCTAATGAGACTTCAAGACCTGCTGCCCAAGAAGACTGGCAAGACTGGCAAGAACCAGAGCCAAGAGTTGTAAACGGGTGTCGGTTTTGGGTTTTTTTCGTGCTGGTCGGCTGCTTTGGGTTGTCATGACATCGGGGTCACGGTTCAGGGTTCACGGTTGATTTTCACGTTTGGGTTGTACAATAATACCACGGCAGGAAGCTATGGTTACGAATGAGAATACCTTTTGAAGATCATGTTTCGCACATTGGGTTGATTGCGATGCTGTTTGTGTACTGACTCATGGCTGGTCGGTTTGCGCATTGCGTTGTTTCCTCTTTTGTCGACTGTCTGGGAAGTCTGCGTTGGACAGAAATACGTATATATGATATGCAGCATGTCCATGTTGCTACTTTTCTCTAGGCTGGTGAATAAGGCACATTCCTCGAACTTTTAGGATGTTGCCTCTTGTGTGATAGCAAACGGGAACTCGGTCGGTGGCACCATTGGATTCGTCATACCACTCACGCGACTCGTTGCGACAAGACGACTTGGAGCTATTCAAATCGGGTGATGTTGTATTATACAGACTTGTAGAGAGACCGGGGGGAAGCTATGCTTGTGAGCTGAACGGCGTGCGCGTAAGCCTTCGCTTGGCTTGGATCAGCCAGCTCGGGCTTGTATATTACGGTTGTACGTTAGTGTCCCGGTCCATAGTCCCCGACACGGTGTTGTCGAAAAGGCATTCTGAAGCTTCCACATGGTTGCATGTCTATACTGAGCAGTCCAAACGTCGCGTACGCTGTAATCCCAGTCTTTCTCCATTCCACGCCTTTGCTTGCTGCTTAGAATTTCAGTGGGGGTGGCGCTATGATTTTGTCAGCATGTATCGATGCAATGTCCGCCACATTGGGGACTCACGGTCAAGGATAGGTGCTCGGAGGTTGCGCTCGAATTTGGAACCTGTGCAATCGTTATTAGCATCGTCTGCGCCTGCGTGGAGTGGTGTCATTTGTCGGGGAGGAACTACGACATACCGCCGGGTGCTGTCGGATGCACGTAGGGCTCTGGGTGCTTCCATTTCGACAATAATTTCTCTGTCTGAGCCAAAAGTTCCTGCAAAGGCTGAGGTCAGCGGTCGTAGTTCGTTTGATTTGCGACTTCTGCCGAGCGCATTACTCACTCTCTTCTGTCTAGAGTCCGTCACAGATCGGTTGGCCTCGAACAACGAGCGGATGTACAAAGCTTGGCCTCTCCAGAGGTGGCGATGAACAGCCCAGTCGAGAGCCAACTTCAGCGAACGCCGGTACAGCGACCTGTCGTGATGACTATCAGCATAACGGCTCCGCCCAATCTGGGTCGTCCAACTTCGACAGCTTCGGGGCTGGTGCTCACAGTGCCGCTTGACGGGTCGACATGGCGATGAATCCAAATCAATTCGATTGCTTCTGGGCCGGAGAAAGAATCGCGATTGGGATTGGAATGAGTGTATGGCCGTAAAGGTCGTGAAATAGAATAGGTATGGACTGCCAATGGCGCGTCGATGATTACGAAGTTACCGAATGAGGCACATGGTAATAGTTCTAAGTGTAGGCCGGGGCGTAGTGTCGCCGGTTGTCGCCTGAGGCATCAGTTTTGGCAGAGCCGCATTGGGGAACATCCAACCTCCTCTTAGAGCTTTCACGTTTATTGAGGCGTCTTATTTAGCATTTAAATATATCTAGGGCTTTGAGTATTGTATTATAAGGTTTAAGTAATAAAAGTTATATTATTTAAATTCAATTTTAATAATAAAGAGTATAATAAGTTATTAAATTATAATATAAAAAATAGTAAAAATAATAGTATTATATTATGTAAGTAGGCATTAGGGCCCTATAGGCCCTATGGCTTAGCCTTAGGCTACGAGACTAAGCTCTTAATAATTATATAACGAGCTAGAGTACTAGACCTAAAGGGCTAGCTCGCTAGTTTCTACTTATTATTCTATTTTTTTTCTTTTTTATATTAAGTCTTTAGTTTATTAAGTTAATAAAATAATATTTTAACCTATTTTAATTTCTTTTTATAATGCTATTTAATTCCCCTAATAGAGCAATCTACCGGGGCCGTATTATATATTACGTATTAAGAAAAACTAAATATATTTCGCTCTATACTTAATTACTACTTAAAATTAACCGTGTTAATTATTATCTCTTTTTATATTAATAGCTCTCGACTTTTTTATAAACCATTAGGCTATAAGTGCTTAACTAGTAAGGCTATAATATAAATATAAATATATTATAAAACTAAAGCTTATAAAGTCTTTTATATAAGTTCTATTTTATAAAAAGTTCTTTTATAATATAATTTATATATTAATTACTAAGTTATTAATATCTTATTACTAAGTATATTTTAAACTTATTATAATTACTCTCTTTTTATATAAATTTAGTTCTTAAAATTATTATATAATATTTTTTTTTAATATTTATAATAAAATTATTAACGTCGTTATTTATAATAACTTTTTTAAAGCGTGAATAATATCTTTACTTATTAAGAAATAAGGTATTATTCTAATTTTATTATTTAATATATACTTTACTATTATTATTTAGTAATAATATACTAACTAATTATTAAGTTAATAATACGTATTTATAATAAAGTATTTTAATTATTATAATATATAAAAGCCTACTTAACCTCGTAGTTATTATTATTACTAAGTTATTAAATAAAACAAAAGATTCTTTTCTTATTATTAGTTACGTATTTTTTTTTTTTTTAATAACGGTTTTATAAATTCTTTTTTATATAATTATACCTTTTTTTTATAATATTCTAATTTTTATTTATTTATTTTTTATTTCTACCTTTACTAGCTACTCGGGCGATTCTCAATATAAGCTACACAATATTAACACATAGTATTAATAAATACTCCCACTATCTTATTAAACTATTTTTTTTTTTTTTAGATTTTTTACTTTTTTAAACTTTCCCTCTTATAAAGTTTATAATTATAAATTAATAATAATATTAAGCATAATACTACTACTTTATAAGCCGTTTACTTAGCTAAGTTTATAGCCCTTTAAGTAATAATAGCTTATAATAATAATATTAGAGATATTATTATTATTATTGTTAAGAATAGCTAGCGCTAACCTTATATTTACCTTATTTTAATTTTACTTACGTATATATATATATTTATTACCTCGTTTCTTTTATTAAAATTAAAAAACACTTCTTTTACTATTTATTATTAAAAATTAATATACTAGCGTTATAAATTAATATACTAACGTCGCTCTTATATTAGCGTTACTATTCTATTTTTTAATTAGTTTAAAAAAATAGTACCTCCTTATAAAAGTAATAAGGGTAATTATATTAATATAGCTATTCTTACTATTCTCTCTAACCTAAGCTCTAATTTAAAATTTTTAAAAATAAAAATACTATTATAACTTACGTACTCGTTTAGAACTATTATATTATTTATTTAAAATTTATAAATTTTAAATTAGTTAGTAATATAAGCTTTTATAAATTTTAAATAAGTAAGGCTTTTTTTATTATATATTTAAAATATATAAAAAATAAATTATAGTAATATTTACTTAATTACCTTTTTTAACATAATTATAATAATTTATTATTATTATAAACTACTTTTTATTAGCTCCGTTTTTTTTAAATACTAAGCTATATTAGCTATTTATTTATATAATTCCCTATTATCCTCCCCTTATTAAAAACACTAAACTAGCTCTTTATTTATTACTAAAATAAGCTTAATATTTAGTTTTAACTTAGTTAACTTATTTTTTTTATAAGCTTAGTTAGTATTAACTTATTTTTATTCCTAAGTAAGTAGCCTCGTTTTTTATTATTTATACCTTAGTTATTATAAGTAATACGGGCTTAACTAGCTAACTAGCTTTTTTTAAGTAAAGCTAGTTATAATAAAATAAATTATACTATATTCTTTAGCTTATTATAAAAAGATATAGTAATTTTAAAATTAAAGATCTAGTAGTATAAATTTAAAAAAAACGTTTCTTAAAAACGTTACTAAGGATATACTTTTTATTTATTAAAAATAGCTAAATTTAATATTTTAAAATAGATTTTATAATAATATAAAATACTTAGCTTAATTAAAATAGTATAATTTAAATTATAAAATCCGAAGGAGTTTAAAAATATCCTCTTATTAAATAATATTACTTTTTTTATAAACCGGCCTTATATTTTAATTAAAGTAAGATATTTTAAAAAAAGTATTATTTAAAGTTTATTTAAGTACTTAAAGCGAGTACTTATATACTCTTAGTTTATAAATACTTTATTTTTTATATAAGCTTAGTAAAAGCGTAGCTCTTAATTACTAATTATATTTTATATAACGTTAATAAGCTAATATAAGTAACTAAGATTATTTAAAAAATAATCCTTAATATTATTATTACTTAACTTAGTATTAGAAATAATATAAGTACTAAAGTTTTAGTATTTTTAAATAAAATAACGGGCCTATTATACTTTTAAAAATAAGTATATTATATAAAAGTATTAGAGGATTAGGTATTAGTTATTAAACTCTTTATAGAGCTTAGTCTAGGCTTTTTTAAAAATATACTTAGTTTTAATAAAAATAATAAGTTTTTATATTATAAAAACCTTATAATATATATAAAAGGGGGGCTTATTAATAAGTATATTAATATAAGCCTTATTCTTATTACTTAGTATAGCTATTACTTATATTAATAATTAATATCCCTTATTATTAAACCTATTATTATTATTATTATAACTATAGTCCTTAACTTACTTTTACTTAGCCCTAAGTATAATATTAAAATTAATATAATAAATATAGAGTTATTATTAAATATTTAAGAATTACTTATTTAGTATAGCTTTTATTTATTTATTATAGTTTATAATAATAATAATAAGGTAACGAACTAAGTATTAATTTATAAGTTAGTAAATACTTACTGAGAAAAACTAAAAACCCTCTAATTTCTTATTATTAATAAGGCTAAACGTAGCGTTATAAATAGATCTAAGGCAGGTCTATTTAATAACTTAGAAAAGAAGGAGCTTAAAATAATTAATATTATAAGTATTATTAAACCTAATTACCTTAGGGAATCGCTTTTATATTTAAAAATAATAAAAAAAGGTCTAAATAAGGTTAATAAGGTAGTTTAGCTCGTTATTTACTTATTTTACTATATATAAAATATCTTATTTATTAAACAGCTTAATTAATACTATAATTAATAAGTATTTAGCTAGTTTTTCTTAGTTTATATAAGCCCTAGCGTTATAAATATCTTACTAAATAAATAAGGACTCTAAAAACTACTTTTAAATAATAATACGTATATTATAAACCCGAATCCTAACTCATTAGTTTATAATTTTAATAATATCCTTAATTACTTTAATAAGCTTATAATATAAAAAGTATATAAAGGCTTTAAAACTAGGGCTATAATTATACTAATTATACTAAGGGTCTAAATAATAATATAATAACTACTTATCCTCTTTTTAAACTTTAATAATAATTTATTATTTATAACTATATTTATAAAACTTATATTATTAAATACTAGCGCTTTATATAGGCCTAGGCTTACTAAAACGATTATATTAAAAAGTATATTAAATAATTCAGCCTCGAGTTTTATACTTATTTTACTTTATAATACTAAATTTATTAATTTTTATAAAATTATTAACTTAATTAAAGAGGGTATTATAAGTTTATTTTAAATTACTAAGAATTAGTAAGTTTAGGATTTTAGTTATAAAAAAAAAATTAGTTATTTAAAATATAATAAAAGGCTATAGTTTAAAAAAACGCTTTATTTTGAATAAAAAATAGCTATAGGAGTAAATAAAGTAATAAGTTAACTTAAGGACCCTATATTTATTACTATTAATAAATATATTTTTATTATTAAAATAATATTATTATTAACTATTAATTAGTCTTAATAACTTATTTAATAAGCTAAAGAGTATTATTAAATTATTTTATTATAAAATAAAAAGGTTATTAGGACTATTTATTAAGGGGAGAGGGGTTATATTTTAAAAAAAGTTATAAAAGGGTAATCCGCTAGGTTTTCGTTATTTTTTTAGGGAAATAGTAAATAAGGTATAATATAAGCTTTATATTAAAGTAATTATTTATAAGAGGTTGCGTTTTTTATAATATATTAATTAAGAACTTAGTAATAAAGTTACGCTACTTTTTAAGATTACTAACTTTATAAAATTAATTAATACTAAGGTAACTACTTTGTAAAAAGGGAAATAATAATAGTTAGCTAAGTAATAATAAGAGGCCGTAATTAATTAATAGTCGCTCTTATAAAGGGGGAAGTCTTTTAAT